TGACTTACATTTTAACTCTTTTATTCATAATTAAACCTATACTTTACTTCTCTGCATGTATTCAACTCCACCACACAAGACCAGAACATCAGTTGCAACCTTTCCTTTTCTCTTTTCATATTCATATAACTTACTTAATTTTTTTCTTTATTTCATTTCTTCATTCATATTCTTTCCTTTTCTTACATTCCAAGTCACAGCTTTCCATAGCATTATTTATTTGTTTATAATTTTGATTTATAATGCTGCCCCAACTCAGAACCAAATTTGGGTAGTGTACAATTAAAACCAGTATCTAAAAGTGCTAACTAAATGAAAAAAGGGTATTGTATAATTATCACAGCCAAAAGAAACAATATACATCAAATGGATGCACCGCTGATCTATTCCAGAGTTTAGTGGACTTTTTAAATAATGTTTAAAGGCTTGCAGGGTCAGGACAATCTGAACCTCAGGGGGGAGGGAGGTATTTCAATGGGCAGGTGCTGTGACAAAGAAGGCATGCTTCTTAGCATCCATCAGATGGCATAGCTTAATGGATGAGACATGAAGCATGTTCCTGTGTTAAGTCTTACAGGATGGGCAGAAATGACGAGAGAGAGGCAGTCCTTCAGATAGCCAGACCCTATGCCAGGAAGGGCTTTATAACTGATAACTAGCATTTTGTATTGCACCAGGAAGCTAAACAGTAGCCAATGCAGCTTGCCTAGCAGAGATGTTACATGGATCTACCAGGTTCACCTTCTGTATATCACAAATAACAATTTGGTGGTAACTTTGGAAGAAACTCTGGAAGCTACACTCAAAGTTTTGGAGACCATATGTACCTCTTGGACTTAGGTTATAGATACCCTGGTTAAGGGAAATGATGCATACTGCTGTTATTTTATCAAGAAGAAATGCATTGTGATGATGTTATTACTTTTCAGAGCAACTTGTAATATTTAACTACTTCGTTTATATTTTATCCTACGTTCCATGTAATTATCTCCTATAGTATTTATATCCATTTGAAAACAGAGATGAACCTTGCCTTAAGCAAACAAACTAGAAAGGGAAAGAAGTGGGTGTGAAGAGAAAAATGAAATGAATTCTTCAAGTGCAGTTGTCAACCAAAATGTGATATTTATGTCCTCTTCAGGTCAAGTCTTTGGTGGTCTTATTTAAAAGCAGTTAGTAGCTTTTGGTGCTTGGCCAATGAATAAGGTCAAGAGTGTGTAACTTCAATAGTTGAAAAAGAAAAACAAATTCCTTGGAGGTCCTCATTCTCTAGCAAATATAAGGATCGTTCTTCTCCTTGTCATAATGTTCTTCCTAGAAAATAAGAGCTTTCTAATGGCCCTTGATCTCATGGCCAGTAGAGGAGGTCTTCAGCCTTCTTTCCTCCACAACCTTTTCTATTTTTCTCGCCCAATTTTTCAAACTCAAGAATATCCACCCTTTTGAATATATGATACTAACTCCTTTACCCTGTTTCAGTTATTCCAGTGAAAGAAATACATTCTTTGAACATCTCTTGGGCTCTTCCCCCTCAGGAAAAGAATTACAAGTAAGGAGTGGAATTTAGACAAACTTCCATTTATATATTTCAGTAATGAGGAGTCAGATCTGCATCCATCACATAATTAAGAATATTATTTTCTATTGTCTTGAATCCTCCTATTCCCCTGCCTACTATACAAAGCAATAATGAATAGCTCAGTTCAATTCTTTATCACAGTCACTGACCAATGCAAAATGAGCAGGATTTAAGAATGTATTGCCCCAGTGAAATGAATACCCAGTTCATTTTAAATGCAGTGAATAAATAATAGATTAATAAACTTCAAATCATTAATCAACGGTCTCTGAAGGGCAAATGTGTGCATTGGGAAACATGGTTTGGGAAAGGGCAAGTGAATAAGTAGGGATATCATAAGACATTAAGAAGGTCTTTTGTAAAAATGAGCATCCCTACTTAATTTCTGCAAAGAGAACTGACAGATGCCTCCTGCTTTTGATTACAACCCCCCGATATGGCAAAGAGCATGAATATGAGCTTCTTTTCCCTATTACTGTATGAGCTAATGACTTCATTAGCTATACATGAAGTGTCCCTTGAGTCAAGCTCAAGTCCTTTTGATTTATATGAACATGTCCATATTCTTTACTCAGAAAGTATTCAGAAGACTGGAAGAATTGCCTTCTTCCAATCTGACCCCCTGTCCTATCGTCTCGTGATAGTTCTGATGTTTAGATGGCTACTTGTTTCTGAACAGTCTACTGCTCTTATAGTCCTAATGCACTGGGGCAACTGAGTAGATGCAGTTGCACCATGCAAGGCTTTGAATAAATCCAATGTGAAGGGAGAGGTGATTTTTTTTTTCCACACTAGGATCACACCCACTAGAATGTCTGGGATGAGGATATAGTCTATAGCATTTGTGCATCAGGGTGAGTTTTATGGACTAAGAGCCACATGTTGCCTCTGAATGGCATCCCACAGGCCACGCTCTAACAAGTAGGACAGCAATGCATTTTAATGTAAATGTATATTTAAATTTAATTAGCATTTAAATAATGAAAAAGAGTTCACATGATGCAAGCCACTTCTGCATTTCTGCCAAGGATGTTTTCTCTGTAGTCATTCAAAGAATCTTTTACACAGGACTACTCCTGTGTACTCCCCTGTACATCCAGTTTGGTGTAGTGGTTAAGGCAACAGGCTAGAAACCTGGAGACCATGAGTTCTAGTCTGGCTTCAGGCATGAAGTCAGTTAGGTGACCTTGGGCCAGTTACTCACTCTCAGCCCTAGGAAGGAGACAATGGCAAACCACTTCTGAAATTTTGCAAGAAAACTGCAAGGACTTGTCCACACAGTTGTCACAAGTCAAGACTGACTCAAAGGCATTAAAAAAAAAAATCCCCCCTCACCCCTATGCATGGTATGTGTCTTCCTCAATCTTGGGTCCTCTACCAGAGGCCTGGGAGTTTGAGGGTTCTACGCAGCATCTTAGCTATTCCTAGCACTGAACTCTTCTGAACAGAGAGCTCTGATGTTGTTCCTGGGATCTGTTGGAGCCACCCTCCCAATTAGGGAGCCCCGAGTGCTCCTACTACCACTGGGACCACTTTGGCCTTTACTTTCCACATCCTCTCTAGTTCTTCCTTCAGGCCCTGGTACTTCT